TCCTGGAGGGGAGTCGTCGACAAAAGACGGAGAAGGGGTAACGTGACAGAGAAAGTCTGGCTTTGCGACGAATGAACGAAAGAGAAGCAACTAAGTCACGAAAGGGGGAAGACCGGAGAAAGAAAGAGAGAGAGGCGAATTACGGTAAGCCCACGTTCATAAGCGTAACTTGGAACGTTCGTTTTCGCGAATTTTCACGATCGACTTTCGCGATTGTATCACGCCTTAATACAGAACCATATGTCTCTGATTGATCGACTATCGAGAGATATAGGCGAGAAAATATAGAGTTCCAGAGAATAACGTCGTTTCTCAATTGCAACAGCGGCGAGGGTACCAGCGCTGAGCGCAGCGTCTGCATTGTGCCACCGGAGGCACGTTACGCGAGGAACTTGGCCGATGATATAGACGGAGAGCGTGGTGGGGGAGATGGCTGTTATCTAAATTACTCTATTTTCTCGAGGGACCCTTGCAATGGATTTTTTTTTCGATCGTCTGGAACGTCGATATCGAATCAAGGTGGGTGTTCCGGCTGTTCCACAGACACGGCCTCTTTTTTTTCTTCCACGTTCATCCTTTTTTCTTTTTCTCTTTCCTCCTTCCTTCCATCCTTCTGTTTCTCTCTCTTGTTCTCCATATGATGCACCTTCCTCCTCCGCCAACGTTGGGGAAATAAGTGTCCGATTCGGAGCAAGTCGGTGCACCAAACACGAGTCATATTTAATTTCGAGATACTCATCTTTCCATTAGGACAACGACACGCCTGATGCACACAAGGCAGGACGTTCTACGGTAGGACGTTCGTTCGAGTTTATCGAATCCGAAACGAAGCAATAGAATCGTTAGAGGTACACGAAAGGGACGTTGCCCGAAGCTAAAAATACTTTCTCCGTTTATTATCGTATCTATATATCATATGCTACGTAGCACGAGTATATTGCACTATTGTCGTTGTACAGCTGCACCGTAAATATTTATTCGTCACGCTCAGGTTAAACCGGGCACAATCTGCTTTTACATTTTACGACGTGGAATAATCATTATGTACGCACGCCCAGGGGACGCAGAGGGAGTAATAACTATGAAAATAAAGACTGGCAATCGACGAACAAATTGTAAAAGGGAAAAGGAAGTGGGAGGTCTTTTACCTGACGAGTACGATTTTCACGCGGAAGATGGTTACCTTTTTGTTCGAACGGTCGACAAACGAGTGGATTCTTCTTGGAAATAAAGTGCTCTGCAAATCGGTCGAGTGAGACTAAGGGGTGGGTGGTGCGGTAAGGTTAATACGGCCAAGGAAAGATAAAGTACTGACGGATATAACAGGTGGGAGCAATATGGTGGCGTCACTGAATGGAGGGCGTACTCTCTCGTGTTCGGCGTAGTATTTGCTCATTCACTCGTTCCTATTTTATTGTAGCGCCGTTTCGTTCACGGCCAACCCGCCACCACGTGGATTAGGGACATTGAAGATTTGTGAGAACGAGAGATACTCGATATCTGTCTGCTGCTGGCTGGCTGGCTGCTTTCCCTTTTCGTTCCTCCGTATCACCTTCGAGCAAGCCTCTCGTATACAGTTTCGTATCGCGATATCGCGATACGTTTCAGAAACGGAGATCTACATGCTTGCCGAATTAGAGCGTGTAATCAAATATCTATAGAAGCCCGAACTAGGGTTTCCGCTTACTTCGATCCATCCCGTATGCTACATATGTACTTTTCTTTAATCTTGTATTCGCCGAGAACGTAACAATCTGAAAACAAGAAAAGAAACAGTTACGCAACAGAATCGATTACTTGTTGAATTTCACGTGGCTACACCGATGGAAGATAATTTCGTCGCTTTTTTCCAATGTGATCGTCATTCCGATTTACCTTGAAACGAACATGACCATCCGTAGAATTTCATGCTCGCGAACAACAAGATACCAGGTCATCCTTGACACAAATTCTATCAGTGACTTTTATTTCAATTTTCAACATGCACGCGCTTTCCAATGACCAACGAATCGTAGATACACGGAAAGAGGCGACGGTGAGAGAAACGGGTTCTCGGGCAATCGTCTGGAAAGAGTTAAATTGCCGACAATTTGCTAAAGACAAATCGTACTCGGCTTTGCCTACTAAACTAATGCGTCCCTTCTAAGAATCTCATTTGGCTTTACGTTCGTTCCGAATTCCTTAACTCTACTGTTTCCGTTATACGCTCGTTTCTATCCTCCAGTTAGCTTGGCAGTGAACATCCCCCTTGTCGACGACATGTCAACCATTATTTCCAATGACCCGTTACGTTACGTTTGCTTCACACCTTCTACGCATCTCAATGATCCAGCAAATACACATGTACTTGTCGGGTTCACATTATCCTCATTTGGACTACACATTGTTGCTATGCAATGGAAAACACATTGACTAGTGCAAATACGACTATTACAGAATTTGACAAGTAATCGCGGTAATCAAACACTCGAGAAGCTAATGACAATGATCCTAGGTCCAACAACGAATCCGCGGTCAACAGAATGCGCTTTCTTCCAAAGCCCAAGCCGTAATCGACTTGCTTGGCTACGGTGAAAGCATTACTAAACTAACTCTTTGTTAAAACGTGGAATATCCACCGAGCGTAAAGACGACCTCACGAAAGAGAATGACTTTCCGTCGCGATGATGCTCCAGAGGAAAACTATGATGGGGTGTGTCTAAGCACACGAGATCGTCGGATTCGTCGGGGATAGCCTTCGTTGAGAAAAGGAGGGAAATTGACGTTGCTGTTAATTGGTCAATTTTCGTGTTGGTGGCTAGAAAAGGATGTTAGCCGCCCTTGAGGGAATGTTGCTAGCGGAAGCGTTGTTCGTGGGAGAAATAGATTTCTCCGATCTTCCCATAGTTGGGACAAAGACCGCTTGTCCGTTTGAAGAATCGTAATTAACAAAATCCTAAGATTTCTAACGAGCCCTCAGGCTATCTGAACTTGAGCTGTGCAAGTGCATCGACATCTGGCAATCATTTTGCCCGAAGGAACCGTTGGAATGTTTACTATCGAGTACCTCTACAAATATTTCTTTTAATGAGGGCTATATTATTACTCATTGTCACAAATCTCAAATAAATACAATTGGGTAGAATGACGGCAAATTGTTTAATTAATTTTGTCGAAATCGCTCTAAGGTTCGTTTGTTTCGAGCCAAATCGAACGTTCCCCTCGGCCGGCTGATAACGGAGCGTCAAGGGTGGCGGTTCTGATTTCTCTGTGAGCGAAAACCACGAAGCCGTATACGTACAGGCACACTCGGCTCACCTTCGATAAAAGTACGAATCGTAACTTTAGACCGCGCTCGTCGGCGAATTAATCGGCTTTTCGAAAGTTGGCGAGCGCGTGGAGGAGTTTTGCGATCACGCGCGGCCCAATCACGCGCCGAATCGCAATTTACGTCGATTCGACGAGACCGGGCACCCGTGTCAAATTGCTCCGACAACTCGCGATGCGAACATTTTGACAAATTGAGGCAGTTGACGCGCGACGGTGCGCGGAAATATTACGTTTACGGACACCGGTCCGGGTACATATTTTGTCGAGGGCGATGGTTCCCTAAAAAAAAGAGTCGATTCGCCGGCAATGGGTACGATAGTTGAGAAAGTAATTGCAGATTCGTTTATTATTTTGTAACATGGAAGAAAACAAGGCGAAGGAAGAGAAGAAAGGAACCGAGCTAGGAAAACGAGATGGAGAGGAGAAGGAGAATCGGCGAACGGGTGGACCGAGGAACAAAGAGGGGAAAGAGGATCGGCCGCGGTATTCAACGAGCTGCTATTCTACGAGCTGGTTTGCATAAAATGCATTGTAATCCCAGCGCACAATGCAGAAAGCTCAAGTTTTACCTGCCGGTGTAATTAATGCTGTCCTCTCCGGACAGCTATGGTTCATGCAGACAGAGCTCGATGATAATTTACGAAATGAAATCTCTCGCATCCTCGTGCGTGGCGCAAAAAGACAGGTTGCTTTCTTTTGTGCGAACGTGTCCATCTGTAAATGCGTAGCCGGCACTTCCTCTCGGAAGACTCTATATCGCGTCTTGCCAAATTTCACATTTGAATGTTTCCATTTCAATGTTTACACTGGCAAATTCAAATTTGAATATATAAATTTAAATGTACGCGTTTGAATAAATTTTAGGTTAAATACATAATATAACAGAACATGCTAGCGATTTGACCACAGAATGGCACACGTGTCCAGAAATACGTATCGAACGTTCTTGTCCATTTCGAATGGTCTCTAGACAATGTGTCTGCAACGGTGGGCGCGGCCTAAATAATAGCGTAACACGTACGTACGCAGGAATGAGTGACACGTAATTATTACAACAATCGCGCGTAACCCGATACCGCTCTCTTAAGACTATTGGCGCCGAGCATACCTACGCCTACTACTTTATTCCCCTCTTCGGCTCTTTTCCATTTGTCCCGGTAAACATAGATAAGCCGGGCTACCTAGTACGAGCGATTCCAGTCAACGACTTTGAT